TTCTTTCTTTCTTTCTTTCTTTCTTTCTTTCTTTCTTTCTTTCTTTCTTTCTTTCTTTCTTTCTTTCTTTCGACAGGGTCTCATGTAGCCCAGGCTGGCTTTGAACTTGTTGTGTAGCTAGAGATAACTTGAACTTCTGATTCTCCTGCCTCTATCTCCCATGTGCTGGGGTTGCAGGCATGCACCACCATATCTAGTTTATGCAAAGCTGGGCTCAAACCCAGGGCTTCATGTGTGCTAAGCAAACACACTCCCAACTGAGCTTGAGTATATTCCCAGTCCTCTTTTGAGAGCTGTTCATTTGATTTTCTCATTTATTAATAGGATTATATATCCTTTTCATGTTTTTTTGAGTTCTTTACAATTTTTGTTACAATTCTCTCTCTCTCTCTCTCTCTCTCTCTCTCTGTCTCTGTTTTGTGTGTGCATGTGAATGCCATGGCACATATGTGGATGTCAGAGCACAACTTGGATTCATCACCTTCTACCATGTGAGTTCTGGGGGTGGAACTCTGCTCATCAGGCTTGGCAGCATGTGCCTCTCTCTCTGACTGAGCAAGCTCACTGGCCCCTAAAGCCTTTAAATTTGATGCAACTTCATTTGTGAATTCTTCATTATTTCCTGAACGTTTGACTTTTAGAGTTTATGCCCATATCTTGAATGTTTCCCCTATATTTTCCTCCAGCAGTTTGAGATTTTTAGGTCTTATACTATGTGTTTGATCCACTGTGAGTTAATTTTTTTTTTTTTTTTTTTTTTTTTTTTTTTTTTTTGTCTTTTTGAGACAGGGTCTACCTGCAGCCATAGCTGGCCTGGAACTCACTATGTAGACCAGCATGGCCTAAATCTCACAGCAATCTGCCTGTTTCTGCTTCCTGAGTGCTGGGTTTAAAGGCTTGTGCCACCACACCTGCTGCTTTGAGTAGATTTTTGTACAGGGAAGATAATTCATTTATGTGATATCTAATTTTGCTGGGACTCCTTGTTAAAGATGCTGTTTTTTGGGTTTTTTTTTTGTCTTTTTGAGACAGGGTCTCCCTGTAGCCCTAGCTGGCCTGGATTCGCTATGGAGACCAGGTTGGCCTCGAACTCACAGAGATACGCCTGCCTCTGTCTCCCAGGTGCTGGAATTAAAGGCGTGCGCTACCACGCCTGGCATAAGATGCTGCTTTTTACACACTGTGTTTTTGGCACCTTTGTAGAGAATCATATGGATGTACCTACGTGAGGCTATTTTTGGGTCTTTGGTTCTCTTCTGTTGGTCTTTGAGTCTGTTTTTGTGCTAGAACCATGCTGTTTTGTTATTAGGTTGTGGCATCTCTGGCATTACTTTTTTTTTGTAATCAGTACCAGGGATTGAATTTAGGGCTTCATGTGTGTAAAGCAAGCATTCTATCACTGAGCTATGGCCCCAGCCACATTCTGTTTTCTTCAGGATGTAATTTACTTTTACATTACTTTAGTGTTGATAACAATTTACAGTGGCACCAAATGTCTGTGGGTTGCCCTTTTCCCCAGCAGGTTGTCTGGCTGGGTAGATGAGCATCTCAATTTGTGTTTTAATTAATTAACTAACTAATTAATAATTAATTATGTGTATGTATGTAAGTGTGTGGGTACATGGATGTCTGTAAAGGTCAGAGGACAACTTGCTGGAGTTTGTTCTCTCCTTTCACCATATGGGTCCTGGGGGTTGAACTCAAGTTATCAGGCTTGGCAGCAAATGCATTTACCCACTGAGCCATCTCATTGGCCCTCAGTTTAGTTTAAAACTGATTTATTTTTCTTAAAAAACTTTTTTTAAAAGATGATCTTTAGCTGGGTGTGGCGATGTACACCTTTAGTCTCAGCACTTGTGAGGCAGAAGCAGGGGGATCTCTGTGAGTTGGAGGCCAGGCTGGTCTACATGGTGAGTTCCAGGCTAGCCAGGACTACATGCTAGAGCTCTGTCTCAAAAAAAAAAAGAAAGAAAGAAAGACCATTATTATTATTGTTATTGTTATTATTATTATTATTATGTGTGTTAGATAGAAAATAAAAGAGGAGGGGCCAGATCTGCCCTCTAACCTCTTAGGACACTGTATTCACATGTACATTCCTACACAAACATATATACACAGATACACAGAGACATGCACTAACAAGAAAAACTTCTTTGGGAAGAAGTTGAAGAAAAGAATGTCATGGCAGGTTGGTTCAGAGACAGGAACTGACATATAATTACCTTTCAAGAAGGAATTTTATTAGGAAAAAGGACCTCAAACCTGTGATTGGACCTTGAGGTGGGGGAACAGCAGCACACTCCTGAGACAGCCTGCATGTGACCTTAAAGAGTGGAGAGGCTTCCCTTGCACCCCTGCAGTGAGGGGAGAGCATAAAGCCAGAGAGAGTGGTATAATGGCTGTCAGAACAGGATGGTGGGGAGAGGCCCAGAGCAGCCTTCAGAGAAACCCGGAACTAAACGGAAATGCCTGATGTTTGCACCTTTCCAGTAAGTGGTAGGAGTTTCACACCATGCAATTAGGTCTGGGACAGCCTATGAGACAAGGAACATGCTGGAGCCAGTTGGGTAGTACCAGGGCTTAGTTATAAAATCATAGTCACAGAAGCTTGCATAGCTCAGTCCCAGGGAGAGAACTGCAGGGGGCATAGCCTAATTTCCTCAGACTGTGAAATCTGGCCTCCTAGAGTGATCTCTCCTCTGTCTCTCTCTCTGTCTCTCTCTCTCTCTGTCTCTCTCTCTCTGTCTCTCTCTCTCTCTGACACACATGTGAGGTCAGAGGGCAACTTTCAGGAGCCAGTTCTCTCCTTCCACCATGGGTCCTAGGGATTGAACTCAGGGTCATCAAGTTTGTGTGACAAACCTTTATCTCACCAACCACTTTCCCTTTTTACGAGGGGTATTTCTGTTGTGTTACCTTTTCCTGGGTCCATTCACTCCAGATAGGGCACTAATAATAGACCAAAGCGATGATTTCATCCAAGTCTAGCTTTGCAAGCTAATGAGTTTAATTGGGGTTACCCACAGGAGCGTAGGGGAGGGGTTACCCATAGGAGGGGCAGGGCCTCGTGTATCTAGGGCCCAGCCTTGTGAGCCTCTCCCTCTCCTCCATGACAGGACATGAATAGATCCAATCTCTAGTGGGTCTCTTCTGAGTAGTCACAGCTGAAGAGAGTTCAAGCGAACAGTGAAGGTGTCATGGCCAGAGTGCCTGGCTCCACATTTTTCTACATTCCCCTTCCTGGTTTGTAGGAACTAACAGACAAGAGGAAGGCAATCTGTGGCCCGAGTTGCTCATTCCTTTCCCTACTTTATCATTTCTCTTTTGCCTTTGCTTATAATCACCATATTCAGAAATTCATTTAAAATGATTATGTGGCTGAAATACTCATTTTTTATTGTTTGAGAATTTCATATATGCATGTCATATGTTTTGGTCAAATCTACCCCATTTCTTGCCCTCCAGGTCCTCCCACCACCCTCACCGCTTTCCCTTCTCCCCATCGCCCCATCGCTCTCCCCTCCTAACTTCACGTGCTCCTTTTTAAAACCTCCTGAGTGCACCTAGTGTCCCAGCATCATTGTGGTTGGCATCGCTATCAGTCTAAGGGTATTGATGGGTTTGTTTTCTCAGTTAATTTAAAAATTAAAAGACAGGAAAAAATCAGACCAGCAGAGAGCAAGAGCCAAACAAACTTTTATTGAAGGATAAAGAATCACATTCACACACGTACAGGATCACACATATAGACACAGTTCATACAGAAAGATGAAGCTCTCCACAAGTGAAGAGGGGGATCCAGAAACTCAAAATCCAACTTCTCCCAGGGAGAGTCTGGGTTTTGACAGTTTTAGTGGTTTCCCCTCCCCTACTTTAGCATTGGTCAATTTAAACAAAGAAGAGAAGGCTGATAGGTCACATCCCTAAGCTGAGATATCCAGCCTGCTACAGTACTCTAAGCAGGTCAGTTGTCATCAAGAAATAAGATCTTCCTGCCAGATCAAGAATCAGGAAGTGTGCCGTCTTTATTACTTCTCAGTGACCATTTGCTTACTAGGATTTAGTTCCTTACAGTATGAAATACTCATTTGTTTTTTAAAAATACATTTTATTTGTTATTTTGTGTGTATGAGTGTATTGCCCACATGTATGTAAGTCCACCCATGACATGCAATGCCTGCGGAGGTCAGAAGAGGGTGTTGGATCCCCTGGAACTGGAGTTACAGACAGTTGTTAGCCGCCACGTAGGTGCTGGGAATTGAACCCTGGTTCTCCGCAAGAGCAGCCAGTATTCTTAAGCACTGAGCCACCTCTCCAGTCCCGAATGACTCATTCTTAATGCTTTCTGAGTTTTGTGTTATTCTTTGAAGGGGCTGTCCCGTTCTAGGATTTAAACTTTCTTATTTTCTGCTTGGCTAATTCTCCTCATATTTATGGGAATTCAGGAACCCATGTGAGGGTCCCCCTTTCCTCTACTCACTACTGCTTCTCTAGCCTCTCCCTACATTCAGAGTTTTCTTTATTACGTCTCTCTCTGCAGAGTGGTTGTTGCAGCCCCCCAGGAGGCACAGGCTGCTCATCAAACAGGTGTCCTCTACCAGTGTGACTACAGCACAGGCCAGTGTCAGCCCATCCCACTGCAAGGTGAGTCTCAGCCCTTCCTGCTTGGGCTGCTGCTGAGATTCCTCCTGTGCACACAGCTGCAGATCTTCCATGTCAGGGGGAATCTGTGGTGTGCAGGAAGCTCTTTAGCCTCTGCTTTGTCTGTAGAGCAGATCCCTCAGGCCCTCTCTATGTTCTTTTCTTATGATCTGGGCACCTCTTGACCAGTCCCGTGTCTCCCAAGTTGAAGGGACCCTGTGCAGCTCTTTTGCTAAAAGGATTAATATTTCAAAAATTTGTATGTGTATAGTGTATCTACATGTATGTGCAAATGCATGTGCTGTGTGTGTGTGCACTGTATGTGCATGCATGTGGAGGCCAGAGGTAAGCACCAGGTGTCTTTCATGACTGCTCTCTACCTTGCTTTAAAATTTTTTTTTAAAAATAACATTTATTCATTTACTAAAATTTTTTTCTTTTTGAGACAGGGTTTCCTTGTAGCTCCAGCTGTCCTGGAACTCACTATGTAGACCAGGCTGGCCTCGAAATCACAAAGATCTGCCTGCCTCTGTCTCCCAAGTGCTGGGATCAAAGGCATGTGCCACCATGCCTGGCAAATTTTTGGTTTTTTAAAAATTTTATTTTTATTGAATTTTTGCAATTTTCATACTGTATAGTTTGATGGTATTTAGAACCCCTCCCCTATCTGCACCTCCCTCTACTGTCCATCACCCAATTTAATGTACTCTCATATATATTATATGGCCTATAGAGTCTGATTTGTGTCCCCAGATGTCCTTCAGTGTGGGTCCATTCACTGGTCCCACCCAGAGTTCCATTCCTGTAAGACACTGGCTCTCCCCTCCCAGCAGCCAATAATTGCCAAAAGTTCCATAGGCTGGGTAGTTTCTTTGAGCCAGGATCTCCCTGTAGCCCCAGCTGGCCTGGAACTCACTATGCATCAGGCTGGCATTGATCTCAGAGATCTGCCTGCTTCTGTCTCCCGAGTTCTGGGATTAAAGGCGAATGCCACCATTCCCAGCTGTCATTTCCATACTTGGGTGCAATGTCTGTCAATTCTTTCATGCCCCTGCATCCTCTCTGATCCTTCTGCCTCTTCCTGTTGGTCACTATTCAAAATAGTAGAGTTACATCTGAATTCCCTATATAAGAAAAAACATGCAACATTTGTTTTTCTTGATGATCTCCAGTTCCATCTACTTTCATGCAAATGTTCTTTGTGGCTGAATAAACTCCACTGTGTACATATACCACATTTTCTTTATCTGTTCATTGGTTGACTGGCACCTGTGCTGATTGTACAGCTTGGTTGTTGTGTATTAGACAATGAAGATGGATGTGCAGGTATCTCTGTCATGTCCCTGCCCAGCTGTTACACAGCCTCTCTTCCCCCTGAGGGTGACCATGCATATGTCTGTCTTCTCAGTGCCCCCAGAAGCTGTGAATATGTCCTTGGGCCTGTCCCTGGCTGCCACGACCAACCCCTCCCAGTTGCTGGTGAGTTGCCCTGGATTGTAGGAGGGTCTTGAGGGGAAGAGTGGGGCCCTGGGGCTTCTGGGCTGGGGGTCTTGAGATGCTGGAATGAAAGGACAGGAGGCAGGGGGAGCCCCTTCTGCTGGTACTCTGCCCCTCAGGCCTGTGGTCCCACTGTGCACCAAAACTGCAAGGAGAACACCTATGTGAAGGGTTTCTGCTTCCTGTTTGGTTCCAACCTGCTGAGGCCACCCCAGCGGTTCCCAGAGAAACTCAAAGGTAGGTCCTTTTGGCAGAAACTTGAGGGTGGGGGCAGGACTGAGAATGCGGCTTCTCAGGGTAGAGGGGTGACTTGGTCTGGGTGCAGGAGGATTAGAAAACCTGGATCCTGTGGAGAGACAATAAGGTGAGAGCACTTTAAGAAAAATCCTGATTTAGCCACTTCTGGGAGAGAAGGGAATCAGCACTGACTTCTCAGATGTCCCAGCCATTTTCCTTGGAGCAAGCACTTGGATTCCCAGCGACAGCCTTCGGGGTTGTAGATGGTGACAGCCTGCTTCCTTCCCCAGTATCCTCCCATCGGGTCTGCCTGTCACACGCTTCAGCTCCTTTGCCTGTCTTCTTCAGGAATCTTTCCAAACTGTCCTTAGAGCCATTATTATTATTAATGAGGTATATCGCGCAAGCTCAAGGCCAGCCTGGAACACATAAGATTATCTCCCAAAATATAAAAGCAGAATTCTAGGGTGGGCTATGGTGGCAAATTCCTTTATCATTTATTATTATTTTATTATTATTATTATTATTATTATTATCATCATCATCCTTTTCTTCCTTTCACAGTTTCTCTTTTCCTAGGCCAGGCATGGTAGTGCATATCTTTAATCCTAGTACAGGCAGAGGCAGGTGGATCTCTGGGAGTTCAAGGCCAGTTCAAGAGTATATAGTGAGACCCTATCTCAAGCCCCCCCCAAACCAAAGTAAAACAATATTCCCTTTCTTTTAAAAAAATCTTTATTTTATTTTTATTTATGTGTGTATGTGTGTATGTGTGCATAAGTGTGGGTGCTCACAGATGTGAGTTTGGCTGGGAACCAAACTCAGCCCTCTGAAAGAGCAGCAAGCGTTCTTACCTGCTGAGCCCTCTCTACAGCCCTGTTGTTTTGGTAGTGATTGGCGTTTTCGTAGTCCTCCTGTGCTTAACGAGTATCTAACTTCATTAATTTTTTCTTCTCGTCTCTTGGATGTGTTTATCCTTGTTCTCACCCCACAGTATTCCTTTCAGTTTTCCCTGTGGAGCTGGCTTTAGCCTATTCTTGTTCAATTATGACAGATAGCTTTGTTGGGTACATTAGTCTGGTTTGGCAGTTGTGGTCTTTCAGAACTTGAAATACCACTCCAGGTCCTTCCAGCCTCCAGAGTTTCCACTGAAAAATCAGCGTTATTCTGCTGGACCTGACTTTGTATGCGATCGGTCTTCCTTGCAATTTTCAATGCACTATCTTTGTCCTGTATATTTAGTGTTTTGACTATAATATGATGTGTGACGTTCCCTCAATGGTTCTATTTTGTGTTCTGTATGCCTCTTTACTTGGATAGACATCTCTTTCTCTGTTTTGGGGGAAATTCTCTTCTATGATTTTATTGAAACTCTTTTTTATGCCTTTGGAATAAAATTTTCTATGTTCATAGTTAGTAGATTTGGTCTTCTCATATATTCTGTTCATATGTTTTAATAATATTATCATCTTTAGTTAGGCATGGTGGCACACGCCTTTAATCCCTGCACTTGGGAGGCAGAGGTAGGCAGGTTTCTGTGAGTTTGAGGCCAGCCTGGTCTATATAGCGAGTTCCAGGCCAGCTGGGGCCACAGGGAGACCCTGTCTTAAAAAGATCCCCTGAAAAAATTGTTTTCTTTGACTTCTTGGAATTCGTCCAGCAGTCTGTGCATGTTCCTTTGGATTCATTCAGGAGTTTGTGTTCTCTTTGAATTCTTGAACGTATTTATGATTTTCTTTTAAATTCTTTGTTTAGGATTTTGTTTAATTCACTCTCATTGGGGCCATTACTATGAAGTTGGTAATTTTTGGAGGGGATATATTGTCGTGGTTTTTCATGTTATTTGGCTTTTTGTATTGTGACTTCCACATCCGTAGTTATTTTGTCAGCTGACTTTCTGGCACACGAGTTGGGTGTCTGTTTGGATTGGTGCTTGGTGTTCCCTCCTGTCTGCTGGCCTTGGCTCAGCTGGGTGCAGCTTGAAGTTCAGTCATGGAGAGATTTAGTGCTAATTCATGGTGAGTTAGCTGATCCTGGCCTCCAACCTCATCAGGGAGTCTACACAGGGTGGTGGGGGTTGTCCTCTGATCTCAGTAGCCAAAACCTGCAGTGTGGGGGCACTGTGAGAGATTTCATGCAGCCTTTGGCCTCAGGAGCTTGGGTGCAGGGTGCATAAGTGCTGGGGTGCTGGCTGCTGGGGCATGGCTTCACACTGCTCTGACCTTAGGAGACTGGACTGTGCAGGTGCTAGGATACTGGAAACAGGGACAGGGTTTCCCGCAGCCTCAGAGCTCAGGAGTTGGGGCCTGCATGGTGCGTGTGTTCAGGGATGCCATAGATGGGAGTGGTTTCATGTGGCTTCCGACCTTAAGAGCCAGCATCCATGCAGTCTGCTGGCCCCAGAGTACTGATGTTACTAGACTTAATGAGGGTCACAGCTTGCACCCCAACATGCCAGGTTCAGTCACCCATCTTCAGTAAGCTCATTAAAATTGCCAAATTAGGGGGCTGGAGAGATGGCTCAGCGGTTAAGAACATTGATTGTTCTTGCAGAAGACCCGAGTTCGAATCCCAGCTCCCACATGACAGCAAACAACTGTCTGTTAACTCCAGTTCTAGGGGATCCAACGACCTCTTCTGTCCTCCATGGACATTGCACAACATGGGTCCACTTACCTACATGCAGGCAATACACTCATACACACACATGAAATAAAAAAATAATAAATAAAATATTTTTTAAAAAAGTGCCAAATTAATAGTGAAAAGCAGAAAAAGGTTTATTCAGTGTGGCCACTTTGGGAAGAGGGACAAAGAGATCCAGTGACACTCGCCCCCTTATGTCTTCAGAGTCTTGACATAGGGTTGGGCTTAAATAGAAAGCAAGGGCTATGCTTAACTAAGCAGTCTGGCCAAGGTGTGCCCCGCGACCACCCTGTCTCAGCTTGTCTTCTAAAGACAAGTTCCTCCTCTGGCTGCCTGGGCTTCCGCCCTTTCTTCTCACAGCAGGCGATTCTTGGGGAGATTTAATTTCCTGGGATCTGTTCTTTCAATAGTCCGATAGCCACAGTGTTTCTTTAGAATATATTCATTTCTGCCAGACAGGCAGGTTACACTGGGGATGAGGTTGGGGTTTCATGTGGCCTCTAACCCTAGGAACCAGAGTCCATGTGGTGCTTGGGCACTGGATGTTTTGTGCCACTCTCCTCAGGAGTGAGGGTCTGTAGGGTGCCAGGGTGAGGGTTCCAGGCTGTGGGAGGCAGAGTTGCTATGGCCTCTGACCTCAGGAGTTGGGGCGGACGCTAGATGTAGAGTATGGGGTTTTATGCAGTCTGTGTCTTCAGGAGCTGGGGTCCACATGGTGCACACGTGCCTGAGTGCCGAGTTTGGTATAGTTTTTGAATTCAGAAGCCAGGGTCCCCACAGTACACAGGCACTGGATACCTAGGGTGGGGTTTCACATGTCCTCTGACCTCAGGACCTGGGCTCTGCATTGTGCACGGATATCAAGGTGCTAGTTGCTTTCAGCATTCTGGTCTTCCAAACTCTCACCAGAATGGCTCATTAATCTCTGCTTGGAGCATTCTAGGACTTCTGTAGCCCAAAGCTTTAGACTCGTCCACATTTCTTCCAAAACATGTTCCACTGGCATACAAACCACATGGTCAGGTTTATCACAGCAATGACCCTACTTCTGGCACTAATTTTTTGAGTTATTTTTCTCATTGTTGTGATCAAATACCTCCCTGACTTTTGGCTTTGTTTTGCCTTAGTTTGAATGGATATAACTCATCATGGTGGGGAAGGCCTTGTGACAAGACTGTGAGGTAACGGGTCACATGGTGTCTGTAGTTGGGAAACACAGTGAACAGGAAGTGGGCATGGGCTGTGAAACCTCAAGGCCCATGCCCAATGATTCACTTCACCAAGAAAGGGTCCACCTCCTTAAAGATACACAAACTTTCAAAACAGCATCATTATCTAGGGATCAAGTGTTCAGCTATATGAGCCCATGGGAGACACTGCACATTCAAACATATATTTATAATATTATAAATATATTTATATAATAGTTCTATATTATAGAATTATTTTTGTTCTCTGTATTAACTGAGCCCTTCATAATGATATTTGTATCATGTCAGCTCCTACTTTTTTCAGTGCTGGGTTGAGCTCAAGGCTCTACCACTGAAGTTTCCTCTTCTAACAGTTTTTAACTTGTATCTGATACAAACACATGGCCTGGAACTCTATGTAGATCAGGCTGGCCTTGAACTCACAGAGATCTGCCTGCCCATTTCAACCACACACCGGAAGCAGAGGAAACAAGCAGGAGGTGGGTCAAGGCTATAGACCCTCAAAGTCCACCCTCAGTACCTCCTAAATTTCTATTATTTTCTCAAACAGCACCACCAACAGGGGACTGAGTGTTCAGTACGTGAGCTTATGGGGGACATTACTCATTTAAACTACTATACCTTAGTTTCAGTAGCACTGAAAAACTTTATTCCTTTTTTTTTTCCCTAGCTAGGCAAACATACTGCCCCTGAGCTTTTTTTTTTTTTGGTCTTTTTGGTCTTTTTGAAACAGGGTTTCCCTGTAGCCCCAGCTGGCCTAGAACTCACTATGTAGACCAGGCTGGCCTTGAACTCACAGAGATTTGCCTACCTCTGCCTCCCGAGTGCTGGGACTACAAATGTGTGCCACCACGCCAGGCATGAGCTACATTTTTATCCCAGAACTCCAGACTTATCCAACCCCCCATTTATGTATGTAAACATGTATAATTATGCCTGCATGTGTACATATATGTGTTCCAAAGGAAAGAAAGGGTTTCATACAATACAATATCAAAAATTAAAAGTCATGTACTAGGCCCCTGAGTAAGTACTCAAGGAACCTGCTGCTTACTTGCAGCATATTCGATGTGTACTATTGCTTTGCTTCTAAATAAAGTTTCCTTTATCACTTTGTTAAAAAAAAGAAAAGGTAAGCCAAGGGTGATGGCATACACCTTTAATTCCAGCACTCGGGAGGCAGAGGCAGGTGGATCTGTGTGGGTTCGAGGCCAGCCTGGTCTACATAGTGAGTTCCAGGCCAACACGGCAGGTTAGTTTGCAGCCTATTGTAATTGGTCCTTAGAGCAACAATCTGGCTTCTTCTCAGTTGGTATCTTAGGGTTATTTACAAATGTGTGACTTTAAGAATAATCTCTCACAGAAGGGCAGGCAGGCAGGCGTCAATGGCTGGTTTTCAGATCTGTCTGAGCCATACAGGCATCCAGATCTACATCCAGGTTTTGCTATGTATGAATTCAGTTCGCTGTCTAGCTACTCCTTGGTCAGCACAGGGTGAGTGAGGGTCCTTCTTCCTTGGTCACAGCCTCAGCCTCCAAAGCTGTCTCTTCTCTGTCCATCAGACCCTGACTTCTACCACTAATTTTGGCAGGACCCAGGCTCTATGCCCTAAGCCCCCGTCCCAGTACCTCCACGACCTCAAACACCTCCCTTTTAAAGCCCATTTGGGGAAGCTACAGCTCACTGGCCTTGGGGCAATGTCCAATCTTTAAGCAGAGTTTTGATGACATGCCCCCCACCCACCATGTAGTCCTCCTCTGAGCAAGCCTTTTGGGATTATGGACAGGCTTCACCCTCACTGCCCTCCTGGTCAGGGCCTTGATGATTCAGCTTAGCCATGGCCAGGCTTTACTTTTACCCAGGCACTGCTTTGAACTCCTTTACATAAGTTTGAGTGCTACTGTCGTTGGATATTTGCTGCTGTTGCTTCATTGAAGCCTGGATATTAGTGGCATTGGCTGTTCTTTAGAAGGTTGGTAAAGCACTCATTTGGAGTGCTGGTGCTTTTTAGCACAACTTTTGGTTTCGACTGTGCCTGCATGTGTATATATATATTCCAAAGGAAATCTTTGGATTTCAGATCCTGAACATCAAAGGATGCCAATGCTCCTGGGTCTGCCACCTCAGCTGGCCAGATCTGAACCTGCCCCTGGGCGGGATAAATGGAGTGGCTCCCCAGTTGCTTTATCCCAAGTACAGTGTAGCCATAGCTGGGTTTGGGCATGGCAGATCGCTAGGTGGGTAGCAGCTAGACCTCAGGGTAGGAAGGCACCATGATCATTCATTTCTGGAACAGGACAGGTACTAGCACTGGGTATGGTTCTAAGATGGCACAGTGCTACAGGGTGAGGCATGATGTTGGCTTCTCTGGGGGAGCATAGCCTTGTGGACCCCAGACAGCCTTCTTAGGTGGGCTGTGGCCACGAGGACTGTAGGGATCCCCACTGGTGAGGACCATAGATGTCTACGGTGGTGGTAGCTGTTGGCATTCTCTTGCATAGTCTCCCCTAGGGAGAAGCTCCTACTGGTCTTGGCTGTGGGGGCAGCTGTATCCTCTGTGTGGCCAGCCTGGGTTTCTGTGCTCTCCAGGGTTACTGCTACTGCTCTGATGTAGACTGGTACTCTAATCAGCTATTTTCACTTAAATGCATTTAGTTTTTGCTGTGCTGGCCATCTTTGTGCAGTGGATGAGCACAAGAGCTTCTAGTAAACTGCTGTGTGAGAAATCTGTTCTTTTTAAAAATATTTTATTTATTATTTTTATGAAGAGGGCTTCAGATTCCCCTGGGACTGGAGTTAAGGATAGTTCATAGCTGCCATGTGGGTGCTGGGAATCGAACCTGGATCCTCTGCAAGAGCAGTCAGTGCTCTTAACCACCGAGTCATCTCTCCAGCCCCAAAATCTGTTCTTTAAAAAAAAATTTTTTTTATTTTTATTTTAAGTTTATGAGTGTATTGCCTGCATGTGTGTAAGTGCACCTGTGTTGTGCAATGCCCGTGGAGGTCAGAAGAGGGTGTCATATACCCTAGAACTGGAGATAGGGATGGTCGTTAGCCACCATGTGGGTGCTGGGAATCGAACCCGGGTCTTCTTTAAGAGTAGTCAGTGCTGTTTTTGTTTTTTCTTTTTGAGACAGGGTCTCCCTATAGCCCCAGCTGGCCTGGAACTCACTATGTAGACCAGGCTGGTCTTGAACTCACAGAGATCTGCCTGCCTCTGCCTCCGAAGTGCTGGAATTCAAGGCTTGTGCCACCATGCCTGGCCCAAGAAATCTATTCTTAATTTTAGTTTTCTTAGTTCATAGGCAGAATATTCTTTACCTTTCTTTCTTATTGTCTCCCCTTGAATCAACATTCAGTGATGTTTCTAATTATTTAATTAATTCATATTCTGTTTTTTCTTGCCTAGAATGTCCTCAGCAGGAAAGTGACATTGCCTTCTTGATTGATGGCTCTGGTAGCATCAACCCCAGTGATTTTCAGAAGATGAAGGAGTTTGTCTCAACTGTGATGGGCCAGTTCAAGAAGTCTAAAACCTTGGTGAGAGCCAGTGGGTTGGTTAGAGAATAGCCAGAGTAAGGCTGCCACATGCGTGGCAACCAGGCTGCCATGTCTCTTCACTGAGGCAAACACAGCATCAGCCAACTTGGCAGTTGATTCTCATGTTATCTCTCAGCATCCTTTCAGCTCTTGTAAGGCAGGTGGTGCTGAACTGATTGATAGCAGTTGTCCTGGGTTAAGTCCCACATATTAGCTCTTGCTGAACCCTAGTATTGAGAAAAAAAGAGTTGGGGGGGTGGACTTTGGAAATTGGAGTGTCTTTCTGCAGTGCTTGTTGAGGTGATGGCACTTTCTCCAGTGTAATGCCAGATGCCTTGTTCCCAGTTCTCTTTGATGCAGTACTCTGATGGATTCCGAACTCACTTCACCTTCAATACTTTCAAGAAAAACCCTGACCCAGTATCACTGGTGAGGTCAATAAAACAGCTGAATGGGAGGACACAGACTGCCACAGGAATCCTCAAAGTAGTGTAAGTTCTTCCCTCTTTGGTTTCTTTTTTGTTGTTTTTTGTTTGTTTGTTTGTTTGTTTGTTTGTTTGTCTTTTTGAGACAGGGTCTCCTCAGAAAGTCAATCTTACTGAAATTATTCTCAGAAAGCGTCAGTACGCTTTACTGATGATCTAGGGATAAACAGTGTGCTTACTGCGTGACCATCAGTTCAAGTCACTCACCCATGCTCGGCCCTCTTTTTTTTTTTTTTTTTTTTACAGGAGAAGTTGTTACTTTTAGCTGGATTATGAAGGATGAGATCTTTCTGTGCAGGGATGGGGTAAAATGTTTTCTGGTGGGCAAAACTATTTGTTAAATGTTCATAAAAACATAGGCTTCAGGTAAAGTTAACAGTTAAATGGAGGCAGCAAGAGGAGCATGACTAGAGAGGGGTTGGAAAGATGGGTTGGGCCTGTGCTGGGGATGTGGCTTAGGGGTAGAGTACCTGCCAAGCATGTCTAAGGCCCTGGGATTGAGCCTCAATACCATGAGAAAGACAAAAGAAAACAAAATAACAACAGAAAGGCAAAAATGGGTTGAGTCTAAGTCACCAAAGGCAGCTTTGTAGCCTGTGTGGATCCACTGGAACTTTGAAGCAGTTGGGGGCATTCTATCTTTCTTATTTGAAAGATTGATCTTCTTTTGGCAAGTATATGGAGGTGAGTGTGGGGATGAGCAGAGTGCAAGAAGGTGAGGGGCTGTGGAGACGGCTGTTAGAAAACTGCTAGCACAAGGACTTGAGTTTGATTGCCAGAACCCATGTGAACAAGCCAGGCGTGGTGGCGATACACTTGCTGCCCCAGGACCAGGGATGCATAGACAGGAGGATCCCTGGAGCTTGTGGCCAGTCACCCTGGCCTCATAGATGATCTCCAGATCAGTGAGAGACCTTTCTCCAATAAGGTGGACAGCTCCTGAGGTACCACACCCAAGGTTGTCCTGTGTCCTGCACACACACGCACACATATATATGCACACACTCTGACACACTTGTGCACACACACACAGACACACACACACAGAGGCACGGGCACACACACACAGAAGTGTAGGAAGATGATCTAGAAAGCTGGAACAGTATCCTGGGAGAGATTTGATAAAGGACCAAGGAAGTCGTTCTTTAATTCTTTTTCTGTATTTAACAGTAACAAGGGGGTTGGGTGTGGTAGTGCATGTCTGTAATTCTGGCATTTGGAAGATAGAGGCCTGGCAAGACTCTGTTTAAAAAAATCAAACAAAACAGGAAGATAGCCCCCGCTTCCCCCGGCAGAGACAGCTCAGCTCTCTCTGTGTCTGTGGTTTTGTTGATATTTCCCCTCAGTGCTAACAGCATTTGTCTACTTGTGTCTTTTCCACTCTTTTCTCTGCACAGAACAGAACTGTTTCACAGCAGCAATGGATCCAGAGAGAATGCCGTTAAGATCCTAGTTGTCATCACAGATGGAGAAAAGTTTGGTGATCCCTTGGATTATGAAGATGTCATCCCTCAGGCGGACAGAAAGGGGATCATTCGCTATGTCATTGGGGTAGGAAATGTGGTTCTTGGGCCTGATGCATCTGTGGAGATTCTATTTTGATATGCCTTCTCTTCAATTTGCAAATACTGATAAAATTAAATTAAAGGGATAGATTAAATAAAATTAAAGGGAGGCAAGAGCCATTGCTAGCCCCTATACACTGCTATCACATATCTATTGTCACAGCAATGCTCTGTGTGTGTGACAAACGAGCCTCGAATTGAGTGTCTTAAAACAGTAAACCAGCTTGTAGTTTGGCAGATAGTTTTCGTGGTCTCAGCAGGGCTCACTTAGCTACAATCAGCCCCCGGGCATTTGTCAGCCCTCCTGATCTTTCCTGCACGCTTTACATTTCCAGTTTCCAGTTAGTTTGTCTGTTAGACAGATGGCCTTGCTGTGAACAAATGGGGTGCTTGATTCTTCTGCTCCCTGAGTCTCTTTCTTCAGCTGGACAGCCCGGGCATGACCTTATGATGAGTGCAAAGGAGCAAGGTAGTGGAAATGTTGCGGGGCTTTTTGCAAACTTCTGTTTGTATCACGTTTGATAATCATGGGCTGATCCACAGACAATAAGAGGGGCAGCATAGTACTTCAAGAGTAGATGGCTATGGTAAAATTTAGGAGAAAGACTTGGGTACAGAAGGCGGTAAAGTGTTAGGATCACCAGTGTAAGCCAACTTCCACAGCACCTTGTATGACATAGAAAAAGGTATCATGGCTGGGTGTGGTGGTGTATGCTTTTAATCCCAGTACTAGGGAGGCAGAGGCAGACTCTGTGTTTGTGGTCAGCCTGGTTTATCTACATAGTGAGTTCCAGGACAGTCAGGGTTACATAACGAAACCTGTCTTAAAAGAAAAAAGGTATCATGACTATCATGAATGTACAACTTGGCATAGGGAAAACCTCCATATATAAAAAGTTTTCTCTTTCTCTGGGGGTGTTAGCCCCCTACCAGGAGGACTAGTGTAACAAATGTATCAAAAGTTGTGTACCAAATTGCTCCCTGGGCTATGTAAAACCTGTCCAACCACAATTGGCAGCTCGTCTTCTAGTAAGCTCTCTCCTTTGACAGATTTCAGATTCCTTCTTTAAGCCATTTCTTTGCTAGGTGATAGGGCTGTCCCCCTGAGAATATATAACTTAGCTTTTGCTTCTTGGTGACAGGTGGGAGATGCCTTCAACAATGACAGATCCCGCAAAGAGCTTAATACCATTGCTTCTAAGCCAGCTCGTGATCATGTGTTTCGAGTGAATAACTTTGAAGCTCTGAAGACCATTCAGAACCAACTTCAGGAAAAGATCTTTGCAATTGAGGGTGAGCCAGGCATTTGTGTTCCCAGAAGTGCCCTTGATGTAGACTAGCTTTTCTCATTTAGCGTTTTGACTCTTGGCATCAGTTCTTTCCCAGCCGTTTGGGCCTTACTTTGTTCATTCCTCTGAACTAATCACAGTTGGACTTTGTAGTTCTAGGCTCTAGGATGATAAACTGTAGTGTGATGGAGTCACGTCCTACACAGCATTTTCCCAAGGATTCACGAGTTGCCAGCATTGTTTGTTTGCTGTACTGTTGTGTCTTCTTTGCCCAGACTAGTAGTGCCTGGTACGTAGAAAGTGTCCAGTGAGGGTTTATTGAATAAGTTACAAATTAGGGTATTTCTATTTTCTTTTTTGAGATAGGGTTTTTGAGATAGGGTCTCACCTTGTAGCCCAGTATGGCTTCGAACTCTTGGAAATCTTCTTGCCTCAGCGTCTTGATTGCTGGGATTACAGGTATGTACAGGTAACAGATGACCAAATTAGGGCATTTTCTATGTAATCTATACCTATGACTTCTTTGGAAAAGCTGGGGGATTAGACACCTTGAGGACCATATTCTCCCTTGACAAAAGGCAGAGGGTTGCCACCCATCCCTCTAAGGCTCACATGCTTCCCAGATTACCACTAGAGTGTCATTTTCTCTGAGAGCATTTGTGTTTCTGAGCGTTTGGCCTGTGCTTGTCTGGTTTCTTTAATGCATTCTCTCCTTTTCAGGTACTCAGACAGGAAGCACCAGCTCCTTTGAGCATGAGATGTCTCAGGAAGGCTTCAGTGCTGCCATCACCTCAGTAAGTGGGAGTGAAGATGGGGCACTAAAAGAGAGCCGAGGCCCAAGGGTCTGGGGGCTTCTCTGATGGGGTCTTGTGGGGAGGTTACTTTTGATATGCAGTTGTCTTTCTTTCTTTTTTCCTTTAAATCCTCTTCTGTCCCTTTTCCCAGCATGGTCCCTTGCTGGGCTCTGTGGGGAGCTTTGACTGGGCAGGTGGAGCCTTTCTATATACGTCAAAGGATAAAGCCACCTTCATCAACATGACCAGAATGGATTCAGACATGAATGATGCTTATCTGGGTAAGTGGGGAGGGCAGGAGTTTCTCAACTAGCTTAGGTGCTACTGGACCTTTTGTAGGCCCTTGGGATAGCTGTAAAGATAAAAATAATGCAAATTTAATTTTAGTTGTGTTGACAAACAGGAACACAGCTGCCCCAACCCACCAGGCCTGGGGCAGCCCCACCGAACACTCAAGGACAGACCTGCATAGTGGAAGGGGGCCAGGTCTGCAGTGGAGAGCACTTTGCTTACTAGACTCTGTCTTTAGGTTATGCGTCTGCAGTCATCTTGAGGAACCGGGTCCCAAACCTGCTTTTAGGGGCACCTCGATATCAGCACACTGGCCTGGTGGTGATGTTCAGAGAGAATGCTGGTGCCTGGGAGCCCCACACTGATATCAAGGGCAGTCAGGTAAGTAGTGTATGAAGCATGAATGTGCAGAGGCACCCAGAGGCTGAGAGATTCTAGGATGGGCATTGCTGGGTGGCAATTCTCACCAGGCTTTAAGCTAGAGAATCCCAGGATCAGTTTTGCATTTGAGAATGTCTTTGGCTTTTCTTTCCTTTTTATGGTCTTGGGATTGAACCCAAGGCCTCGTGCATACCAGGCAAGTGCTCCACCACTGAGCTATATCCCTAGTCCTGCTCTCTGCTTTCCTAGCAATAAATAGCAGTGTTTGACCTGTGCAGAGCTCACTATGACTCTACCTGCTTCTGGAGCTTGCATTCAACCAGTACATAACCAATATAGACATATTAGATATTAAATATTGAAATAATTCCGTATCTGTTGATGGCCTGTGGAGCTAGCTCAGTCAGTAAAGTGCTCATGGTACAAGCATGAGGACCTGGATTTGATACCTGGAACCCACATAAAAAATGTGGCATGCTTGAAATCCCAGTACTGGGGAGGTGGAGATAGGCAGAGCCCTTGGGCTCCCTGGTCAGCCAGCGGGGTATACTTGGCAAGCTCCAGGCCAATGAGAGACCCTGTCTCAAGGAACAAGATGGACAGCTGCTGAGGAACGACACTGAAGGCTGACCTCTGGCCTCCATACATGGGTATACACATGTGCACGGGCACTCCCCATATACACAAAAATAACAAAATAATTCCCTATCTGTTAAATGGCTGTTTCTTTAAGATGTCCCAGATGGACAAACCGATGTTAAAGTTCATGTGGAACTATAAGAGACCCAGAATAATTATAGCGGTATTGAAAAAGAAGAACACTTCCAAATTCAAAATTTACAAATCAAGATGCGGTGTGGTGGTACATGAATGCAATCTCAGAACTCAAGAGGGTGAGGCAGGAGGATTGCCAGTTTAAGGTCAAGCTAGGCTACCTCATGAGTTCTAGGCCAACATGGGCTATATAGTTTGAGACCCAGTCTCAAAAGTAAAATAAAGCAACAACAAAAACTCACAAGTAGATTCAGATAAAAAGTATGTTAGCCAGGTGTGGTGGTGCACACCTTTAATCCCTGCACTCCTGGAGGCAGAGGCAGGCGGATCGCTGTGAGTTCAGCTGGGCCTACAGGGAGACCCTGTCTCAAAAAGACAAAAAAAAAAAAAAAAAAAAAAAAAAAAAAAAAAAAAAAAGCATGTTAATAGTCTTCAATGGATGGATGTAAGCTAGACTAATGGAATAACACTCACAAACACATGGTTTCTTTCTGCAGACAGGGCGATGCTCTGTAATTAGAGATTATGGCTACCAAACACGAATATACTAAATACTACTGAATTTTGTACTTTAAAATGGTAAATATATGTCATATAAACCTCATTTAAAAAGCTATTTTGAAGCAATCAAGGTAATTAATCATAAATAACAGATTATAAAATCATGTAGTCATCTTTAATAGATACAGAAATAGAACTTGATAAACTATAACATCTTTTCATGATTAATAAGTCTCAGTGAGCAGGGAGTGGTGGCACACACCTTTAATCCCAGCACTCAGGAGGCGGAGACAGGTGGATCTCTGAGTTCAAGGCCAGCCTGGTCTACATAGTGAGTTCCAGGACAGCTGGGGCTAAAAGACCAAAAAAAAAAAAAAAAAAAAAAGTATAAGGAATTATGCACACAAGGACAAGACCCGACATTGAAAAGATTCTTATAAAAAAACACACAGGCATACACACAAATAAATAAAAAAAAAAAAAAAAAAAAAAAAAAAAAAGTCTCAGTGAATTAGGCACTGAGGAGAATGTCCTCAATTTGAAAGTGTCATTTACAAAAAATCTCCATCTGACATTGTTCTTAAAAGTGGAAGAGAGGGGCTAGAGAGACAGCTCAGTGGTTAAGAACACGGGCTGTTCTTGCAGAAGACCTGGGTTTGTTTCCCAGTACCCACATGGTGGCTCATCACCTCAGTTAATTCCAGTTCTGGGGGATCTGATGCCATCTTCTGGCCTCCATGAGCAATGCGTGCACATGATGCACTTAAGCCAAGCAAAACACTCATATACATAAAAATAAACATAAATGAATGTTTTTAAAAAGTAGACGAGAATGTTACAGTTGGAAACAAGGGAAGACTATCTACCTAATTATTTTTAGTCAGCACCATACTGGAAGATCTACGCAACAGAACAAGAAAAAGAGCCTGTAAATCGTAAAGAAAGTTATAAAACTATATTTGCTGATAACACGACAGCATGGGAAGCCCCAAAGAATGCAGAAAAATTTACTAGAACTAATATGTTATTTTAATAAGGTCTTAGAATAAGATAGACATATAACCAGTTATAATCAATAAAGAAATAAGCAGATAATTACCATAGATTGTAAGGTTCATTATGGTTAATTGAGGGACTCAATGCAATAAAGATTCTGGAGATGCTCAGTGGGTAAAGTGCTTGCTGCATAAGCACATGGACCTGAGTTTGGATCTATAGCTCACAAGTAAAAAACTGGGCGTGGCAGTGCACACCTGTAGTCCTAGTGCTGAGAGGTGGAGACAGGAGGATCCTGGGGAATCTCTGGCCAGCCAGTCTAGCCAATCATGAGTTCTAGGCTCAGTAAGAGATGCTGTCTCAAAAGATAGGGTGGAGAGCAATAGAGGAAGATGCCTGATGTCCATCTCTGATCTCCACACAGGCAGGCCTGGGTACACACACACACACACACACACACACACACACACACACACACACACACACACACACACACACACACGCACACACACACACACACACACTCGCACACACACACACATACACACACACACGCACACACACACACACACACACTCCAAAAGCAAAGCAAAGCAAAACAAAACAAAAACTAAAAAAAAATTCTGGAATTTTTTAGAATTAACAAGAAAATTCTAAAATTTATATGGAAAAGAAAACAAGAATATTCAAGAGTTTTACAAAGATTTCAGATAAACACCTCAAGGTGTTTCCTGGAAGACTCACCCATTACCTGATTTCAATCTTTCTATAATGTTACAGTAATTAGACATTTTGGCAGTGGCAAAAGATAGCCACACACATCACTGGAATGGACTAGCCCTGAAGTAGCTGGGCATATCATGTACACCCAACACTCAGGAGGCTAAGGCAGGAAGGATGCAAGTACTAGGCCAGCCTAAGCTACATAGAAAGATCCTGTCTCAAAAACCAGTCAGCTAAGCAAGCAAGCAAAATCATCCTCAAGTAGACAGACATGTGTATGATCAACTGATTTTCCTTTTTAATCCCCCTCAGTTTTATTAAGGTTTAATTGGTAGATAAAAAGAATGCAGATTTATGGTGTAAAATGTGTTTTGATATATGTATATACTGTGCAATGATTAAATCAAGTTAATTACCATATCCATCAATTTACATATTTATTTTTTTGTGATGAGAACATTAAAATATGCTCTCTTAGAAATTCTCAAGTACACAGCACATTGTTAACCTTAGTATGCAATAGATCAACAGAACTTACTGAGCATAAATGAAATTTGTATTTTGACCAACATCTCCCATCTCCTCCCTAATCTTCAGCCTCTCGCAACCATCACTCTAATGTCTGCTTCTGTGAGTTTGACATCTTTAGATTCTACACATAAGTGAGATCATGCAGCATTTGTCTTTCTTTGTATATTTCTCTTAGCACAGTATCCACTGGATTCTTCCATGTTATCTTGTTTCCATCTTACTTTCCTTCTTTTTAAATATTAAAAAAATTATTTATTTTTTATTTTATGTGTGTGAGTGTATTGCCTGCCCATGTGTAAGTACACCTACACATAGGTGAGCAAGATTGAGGGCATCAGATTCCCTGGAACTGGAGTTAGGGATGAGTGTTAGCCACCACATGGGTGCTGAGATTCAAACCCAGGTCCTCTGCAAGAATAGCCAGTACTCTTAACCACTGAGCCATCTCTCTAGCCCCTATTTATTTTATTTTTATTTAATGTGTATAAGTGTTTTGCCTGCATGTGTTAAGTGCATCCATGCTGTGCAATACCCATGGAGGCCAGAAGAGGGCATTGGATCCCCTGGAACTGGAGTTACAGATGTTAGCTGCTATATGGGGTGCTGAGAACTGAACCTAGGTCCTCTGCAAGAACAGCCAGTGCTCTTAACTGCTGAGCCATCTCTGCTATGTATTGTTTTTTCAAAGATAAAGGTTGAAACTGCTTCGTGTGGTGGTGCGTGTCTTTAATCCCAGAACTCAGGAGGGTGAGGCAGGTAGACATCTATGAGTTCCAGGCTAGCTAAGGCCGCATAGTGAGACCCTGCTTGGAAAAAATTTGATATTAATTTATTTTCTATAACTTATTTTTATTTAATGGACACGTAGTAACTATACATATATACTGATTACAATGTGATATTTGATATATGTATGTAATATGTAATGACCAAGTCAGTGTAATTAGCCTCTTACCTTAAACATCTCCATTTGTGCTGTGAATATTTAAAAAAAAAATCTCTTTTTTAGTTATTTTGAAATATACAGTAAATTCTTGCTAACTGTAGTCATCCTACTGTGTCATAGAATATTGGATCTTATTCCTTATAGTTATATTTCAGTACCTGCCACCGTCCTCTCTGTTTCTCCCTTATCCTGCCCCTCTGTTTCTGGTGACCCCTGTCTAGTCTCTACTTCTATGAGATCAAATTTTTAGATTCCAAATATATGAGAGGACATGTGCTGTTTCTTTCTGTGCCTGATTTAGTTCATGTTGCTGAGCTGACAGGTTAACATTCCACTGCATTTGCCACATTTTACTTATGCATTCAGTCACTGATGGACTCCAAAGTTGATTCCATATATCTTGGCTGTTTTAAATTGTGCTACAAGAAACTTTGGAGTGTATAACGTCTCTTTAAAATAATGGGGCTGGAGAGATGACTCAGGGGTTAAGAGCACTGGTTGCTGTTGCAGAAGACCTGGGTTCAAATCC